GGGGGGGGGCAGGGAAGAATAGCCCACGTATAACCTAAGGATGAACTCTGCAAAAGCACTTCCTCAGAGGAAGCTGTGGTATCACCGGGTGACACTCACTCGCTGAAAATAATGGAATTTTTATCAGGTGCCAGAACACACAAAGATATACATAAAAGTGCAGCAATACCAGTGTTTAGATTAGATGTTTTAGGAAAGCCTCCCAAGAGAGAGCTTTACGTATGTCCCTGGGAACTGTCTAGCACACTGTGAAGACCTGTAGGAAGGCCAAGTCTCAGACTGCTGAACAGTGACCTCGGAGGACTCCCCTGTGAAGCAGAGACGCTTCTGCATACTATTTTATGGGAATTTTTCAGCTACCCAGCGAACAGAAACCCGTAATTCTCACAGGCAGTGAATGCAATTCCATCCTGCAGCTCCAAAACACACACCTAGCTGGACACCAAACAAACGAAGGCGGCCATTCTCCTGTTCCCAGAGTGTGTTGTCCTGGCTGCTAGACAGAAATGCCTTTTCTCTCCTAGCGTGAAAGGAGCCAGACCTTTCTAAAGTTATGTGCCTGTGTGCTCAGCTGGAACTAATTACTTCTGCTCTCAGCAAGGCTCCTGTGGATGACACTCCGAAAGCTCCCTTGGGATTTAACCATAATTGTCCCATAGCATCATCTGGGTAACTAGGGTCCCTTCAAAGGGCAGCACTGGGGTGAGAGCTATCATTTATTTTTGCCCCTCCAGGGTATCCCGAATGCCTAGCATTCCCTGTCACTGTGCTACCAGGTTGAGAGCAATATAAAATATTTACAATAAGCAATTTAAAACAGTCAGTTCCCCACATGAAGTCTAGTACCACAAATGATGCTATAGACTTGATAAGAAGATTTTCACTGACAGGTAAACATCAGTAGTTCACGGAGCAGCATTACTAATTGATGATGGTTTCTGTCTCACATTGCAATTAAATGACCTGTAATAGGCGCATGTTCTGAATGAAGCATTTCCCATTCTTGAGATGTTCATACTTGCTCTCTATGAGATAGATTTTATAATGTCTAACAAAATTTCGATTCAAGCTGCAATCCTCTCCTCACTGGAGACATTTATATATCTGTTTTCTCTACCTGACTGTTCATTTCCATGCAACTTACTGCAAATTTCTTTCAGTCTATTAAGTTTGTTCAGAATTGACCAGAGGGCTCAGAAGTTATGGTGGGATGCACACAAACAAGCAAAGTGTTAATCACATCAGCTTCATTCCTTAGGAAGCCAGGTTGGAAAAATGACTCCTGGACGCACAGAAAGATTCCTGCTCCTCTTCACTATTAATTGCAACCACAAGAACAGGCTTTGTGGTTAAAGGACCACTAAAGCATGGAGTGGATATGTTGTACTTCATCAGTGTCTGGCACATGGGGCAGACAGTTCTGTAATCCAGACGTGGTGGCACATCTGAGTCCACTCTATCTGGTCATCAGTGCCCAGATCTGGCTACTAAAGCCTGTGGCAAAGCTGAGACAAATTTTCAAAGTACAGGTTTGAACATGAGATGTGAAAGGAGTACTAACATCTGTCAGAGATCTGAAACTTGAACTTTCTTTTAGAGATGGGGCCAAAAGCATTCAGAATTTTTTCCTGTGGTGTGTATTGGATTGGGTTCTGTGCTGACTTTTGCAGCGTGTGTTCCTTGAGGTTCACTCCTTCTCTGAGCTACTTAAGTATATAAAACAAGGAGTAAATACGTAAATGAAAACATAATAGCAGCAAAAAACTAATGATGAGCACAAAAATTGAAACATGCCAAGTATTTGAATTCTGTCACAGTGGGAAAGCAGTTATCCATCTAAAACAGCGCCTTGTCCTTACACAGTGTCCTATATCCTATGTATGAAAGGAGGACACAGAAGTCCTTGCAGTGGGTACAGCAGCCTGACCTTTTTTCAGTGTCAGAAAATGTTTAGGAAGCCACGGTCAAATTATAAATTGTTGCTGCCTCATACGAATACGTCATTCTGTAGTGATTTCCTATAGTTCCCATTGCAAAGTGGCTGATGGTTCTGCCTTACTGATGGATAGTTGAATGATTAAACATTAAGTGATATGTTTTCAAAATGTTACCGCTCCGACAGGCTTTGACTAGCCTCGTTTGAGAAGTGTGGTTAACATGAGTTGGCTTCTACGTGTCTGTCACCTGTTTAACATTTATTAAAGCATCGCTGTGACAGACTGTACGAGACTTTGTTGAAGTAAAGGGTGTGAAATACTCACCTGTCA